TTATGGAGCGTATAATATTACACTCGTTATACCTAGAGCAGAATGTACCTTCTCAGAAAACACCAGGGACCACCACTAACGTATGCCACTTACATATGGGGTGGAACCCTTAAGAACAGTGGGGAAACACTTGTTCTTTTTCTTGGTTTCTCGAAAGCTTTCGACAGAGTTTCCCACGCTAGCCTTTTGGACAAGCTTCCAGCGTACGGCTTACCCTGATGTGATTGACTTGGACTAGTACTGAGAATGAAGGACTTTTTAAGAGAACGATATTTCCGAATCATCGTCGAGGTCTAGTCGTCTGAGCCTATGACGACTAACCTGGAGTTCCACAGAGGCCTGTTCTCTCTTCGTAACAGTCAATACGCGAGATCCGTCTTAGTAGATAGCAAAATATTATAATAGCTTATTCCTGTGACCTCGTCGTCATTAATTTTCTTTTCGGTACTAAAGAGCCATAAATAAACAATCGAAATATGGGCACCTATTCAGGTTTTTTATCGAATTAAGCAGAGCACATTATATCTTTTCTATTTATTTATTTTATTTATTTAACAATTTATGTATACACAAACAACGGAAAGGACACAACATGATGAAGAGTTTATACAAGGCCGCTACTTATCTCGTAATGAAATTTCTTCCAGTGGGCCAGTCAAAAAGATATGTGATATACAGGTTGGCCGGACAATTGACGTCATAAAATTTTTTTTAGGTCCGGCAAGTCGTGGGGTATTCGAATTACCCCCATATAAGTTCCGCGATATTTGATAGTTTTCGAGTTATAATTTTCTTTAAATTTTTTGGTAAATTTCGTCTTGACTGTCTTAAAAAATAAAAATGCCTCATGAATGATGATTATGGCAAAACATTAAGTTGGCTAATTTTAATAATTTTCCAACCTGCTGTCTTTGAAGACCGATTTTAGCCAAATAAGTCCCATTAAGTACTAATTTTTTTTTATGATTATAAAAGCTGGGAGCCTGGCGCATTTTTCAGACAGGCTTAGATTTTGAATTTCCATCTTTTTAGATTTTGAATTTAAAGTTAAAAATTTAAGACATAACTCACAAAACGTAAATTTTTAACTTTAGACCAAAAATTTCTGTACTTTTAGTAATGATACGAAGTTGATTATTTTATGCGTAAAAGGACAACTTATGAAGACTCATTTGCAAAAATAAAAAAAATCTCAAATAAGTCTTCAAATATTTTTTTTAAATTTTTGAAGACGGTCAAGTCGAAATTTACCAAAAAATTTAAAGAAAATTATAACTCGAAAACTATCAAAAATCGCGGAACATACATGGGAGTAATTCGAATACCCCACGAACTGCCGGACCTAAATAAAATTTTATGACGTCAATTGGTCCGGCCACCCTATATAAAAGATAATAAGGTGTGCACTTTGTTATTATGAAATGAACGGGAATATAAATGAGCTTTAAAGGATGGGAATTTTAAGAGGGTTTAAGGTGAGGTCTACAAACTGCATCTGGAGATTTAAAAAGGTAAATGTTAAAAAGAACACAAAGGATACGAGTGTTCCTGCGAAATCGGATCGGGAGCCACTTGAGCTGCTTTCTTTATTTAGAGACGTGGTCAAACTTCTTGAGTCCAAAAATATACCGAATGCAAAGGTTTTGCAATCGCTCAACTTTGTTTAATTGCTCCTCTGTAGCATCCAAAAACACTGTACGTGGATTTGTGTGGTATTCTGCTAACAGATAGGACAAGGTTCTAATGATAGACAACGCAATACCCAGCCAAAACATGCGACATCCTAATTCCAAAGGCTACCGTAGTTAAGCACTCCTAACACAAACATTTCAAGCTTACCTGGAGCGGTTAACTGCTACATTAGTAATGTTACTGACATTCCTAGCACTTTTACAAAAGTGAATCACTGATTGGTTATGGTGAGCAACAATGCCAGTATTAGTAAATTGGTTTTGCGCGCACCTAGCTTCCAGCCAAACGTCCTCAGTGTAAGAAAATTTCCAAAAATATACAATAGGTACGTGAATTAGAGCAAAACACCAGCGGATTAAGCTGCACGAAGAATTAAATTTACATTCACTAAATTCCAAAATGCCTTATGATCCCGATGTAATATATAAGGCCTTGCGCCCCGTGCCAGATTTCGACGGTAATCCAAAACATCAAAACAAAAATCTCACGAGATTTATTAAAATATGCGATCAGGTCGTATTAACTTACATGAGCTCTGAAGCCGGTAGTGAATTATTTAATTTATGTCTACTGAACGGAATTTTGAATAAAATCACCGGACCTGCGGCTTCAATCATAAATTCTAATGGCATCCCTGATAATTGGCTAGGAATTTGCTAATCTCTTATTAACAAATTCGCAGATCAAAGAGACGAAACTGCGCTGTACAATGACCTTTCCTTAGCTTCGCAAGGCCACAAAATCCCTCAGGTGTTTTACGATCACTGTCAGACTCTTTTTAGTACCATCATGACATATATATCGTTGCACGAAACTATTCCGACCACTATCGAGTCTAAACGGACATTGTATAAAAAGCTCACTATGCAGGCTTTCGTTCGTAGCTTACATGAGCCCTTAGGGTCTAGAATAAGGTATATGCGCCCTTCTACAATAGAGCAGGCATTGAAATTGGTCCAGGAGGAATTAAATATTTTTTATTTGCTGCTTTTATCAGCGTAATAATGATGTACACCCTAAAACTCTCCGGCCGCCTCCAAGAGCACAAATACCAATTCCACTGCCATCTCAATCTAAGCAATTCAGAGACCGACGTGGATGCCACCTCAACCTCAACCATTTAAATTTACTCAACCACAAAATCAATTTAAGTTCAATGCGGGTCTCAACATCAGTCTCAATATTGCATGTCAACAACGTACTCAACAAATGTTCAGTGCACCACCACCGAAACATAACCCACGCAGTAACGTGTTTTTTTATTCAGCCTCGTTATCAGCAGCCTCAGAATCTTGGCCCTAAGCCTATAAGCGGTGTTCAACATTTCCCGCCTAAAGCCTTGCCTCCTACAGGACGATTAACTAGCCACGATTGGAATAAGCACGGTAACCCACCACCTACGAATTATTTTAAAAGCCGTGAAATGAATTTTAACGAGTGTGACGGCTATGATAACTATTACTATGAGCCCGACTACAACAACTATTACGCGGATTACTACGAATGTCCATCTTACGCGAGTGGCTATAATGATTATGTAAACCACGAGAGTTACGGTCCCAAGTTTGTTCCGTTAAACGATTATCGAAGCGTCAATGATACAGAAAACGATCCTCAGCCTTCCACTAGCCAAAAGGAAAATTTCACGAGGATTCCCTTTCAAAGAAGCCAAGATAGAAGTCAGTTTGCAGACCCAGCGTCAGCTACCATTTATTCCGATCTTAGACCCTCCGTTGAAGCTTCTCATCGATACCGGAGCGAATCAATCATTTTTGAGGCCGGATGCTGTAGAAAGATTTTTCCCTGATTATCAACTTGACTATGATCCTTTCGTAGTTACTAATGTTCACGGTGTTAGTCGAAATGATTATTCCATTACGGTGCCCTGTTTTCCGGAAATTAAAGATAGCGAACCGATAAAGTATTTCGTGTATAAATTTCATAACCATTTCAACGGGCTATTTGGGCTCGATTTGTTAACTAATTGGGAAGCAAAGATCGATTTAAAAGCATTACATTTAACTACTCGGTCTGCAGTGAACCCAATATTGTTATATAATTCACGAAACGTGAACCTGTACGAGGATATAATTTCTGCGAATACTTCAAAGTTAGTTAGAATTCCTGTTGACAGTAGTGATGGTGAAGTCTATATTCCTGAACAAATTTTATGTAACTGTGTCATTCACGAATGTATAACCAGCGTTTCCCAAAATAAAGGTATTTTAGAGATCAAGTTTCTAAAATACCTCTTCGTGGTTTTTTCCCTGAACCGCCCCGCTCACTCACAGTTGTTTAACGTTGAGTGCACGCGCACCCAGCCTATAACCCAACGCACTAAAGACGTTTTATCGCGACTCGGCACTGACCACCTAAACGAAGAAGAAAAGGCTAATTTGATGACTATTTGTGCCAAATATCATGACATATTTTATATCGAAGGTGAAAACATAACATTTACGAATCAAATGAAACACCGCATCCGTACGACCGATGAAATTCCGATATACACAAAGAGCTACGATATCCTGTTCATCGAGAAGAGGTACGCGATCAAATAAATAAAATGTTAACTCAAGGCATTATACGTCCCTCCGAGTCCGCGTGGTCCTCACCGATTGGGATTGTCCCAAAAAAGGCGGACGCCTCGGGGAAAAAGAAATGGCGTCTAGTGGTACATTTTCGTAAAGTTAATGAAAAAACCATAAATGACCAATACCCTATCCCGAATATCTCAGATGTTCTGGACAAACTAGGTAAATGCCAATATTTTACTACCCTGGATCTCGCCAGTGGTTTTCACCAAGTAGAGATGGACCCCGCTGACATTCCAAAGACGGCATTCAATGTCGAACACGGCCACTTCGAATAATAGTAATAATTATAATATCATTTCGAATCCTTCCGTCAAATTCCTTCGGATGCCCATGGGCCTGAAGAACTCTCCTTCCACGTTCCAAAGAGTGAAGGATAACATCCTCCAAAGTTTCCAGAACGAGATCTGTTTGGTGTACCTCGACGATATAATAGTATTCAGCACCTCGCTGCAGGAACACATGGTCAACTTAGAAAAAGTTTTCCAGAGACTTAGGAATTCTAATTTCAAAGTGCAAATGGACAAATCAGAGTTCCTTAACACTTTCACTGTCCGGTTGCCAGACACAATAGTAAGACAATAGCAGTGACCTATATGTAGTGCACGGGACAACGAAAGGGTTAAGTTAGAAACGGCTTATTTAGGCCATATCATCAGGAGCGAGGGCGTGAAGCCTAACCCAGACAAAGTAGCAGCGATAGAAAAATAACTTATGTCTAAATCTCCTAAGGAGATAAAGCAGTTCTTAGGAGCATTAGGATATTACCGAAAATTCATCCCAGATTTTGCAAAAATAACAAAACCATTAACACAATGTCTAAGAAAAGGTAAAAATATCACTTTTGACCCCGATTATGTTAACAGTTTTGAGAAGTGTAAAACTCTTTTGACGAATGATCCAATCCTTAAATACCCGGAATTTAGTAAGGAATTTATCCTTACTACCGATGCGTCGAACTTTGCCATCGGTGCTGTTTTGTCTCAAGGGCCGATAGGCTCGGATAAACCCGTCTCATATGCCTCGCGTACAGTTAATGATAGTGAACAAAATTACAGCACCATCGAGAAAGAGCTCCTGGCAATAGTATGGGCCACTAAATATTTTAGACCCTACCTATTCGACTGGACATTAAAAATACTTACCGACCACAAACCTTTACAGTGGATTATGAGTTTAAAGGAACCGAACTCTCGCCTTACTTGATGGCGCTTAAAGCTTAGCGAATACGACTTCACTGTAGTTGATGATTCAGATGCCCTCAGTCGCATTGAGATCCATAACGAAGAGACTAATTCTCTTCTAACGAATCCCTCGGAACAACCAGAACGCAGTCATGGGTCTACAACCGCTACTATTCATACGATTCACGAAAATCCCATATTGGAAGTTCCAATAACCGATGAACCACCACAAAAAAAAATTTGTAATTTCTTCATTGTTGAGTGTTATGTTTTCATTGCATTTGAATCTTTTTCGTCATCATGGATACGTTAAAAATTCGAGTAATTTTAAAACCCGTGGTCGTCCGAAAACTTTGGTCTACAATGACGAATTAAAGGTGATTGTGGAAGCTGATACTGCACAAAAGACGGTCTCTATGTTACAAGAGCTGATGTTGGAAGCTCTCCGTCATTCGCCGTACTCACCAGACCTTGCGCAGACAAAAATTTGAATATCTTTTTGGCGGGAAGATATTCAATACCCGAGAGCCAGTACAAACTGCCTTTGAAGAATTTGTTGCCTCCCGTCCAGCTGATTTCTTCAAGAAGGACCTCAATAAACTGCCATTGCATTGGCAAAACAAGTGTTTTCAAAAGGAAAAAAACGCCGGCGGATTGACAAATGACTATTTATTAGCAAACTTTTTTTTATGCATGATCGGTTTCAAACTGCTTCAAGCAAAAATAAACCTTATACCATATCAAAAAGAGCACATGGTACTTCGTAGGTCTATTCGAATAAGGTAATAAGACGGCAGTTCAACCATTTTAAGCAAAATTAAACAATAAGACAAACGCATTTTTTTAAGAGGAGACTTGTTTTCCAGAAATTTATTTACAACTTGAGTTTGTGAACGATCGCAATGAGTGCTAATATTTGTTACTTATTAGACTATTTTTCTACAACATGATTGAAAACCCACAAAGTAAAAAGAGTACCATGTACAAGTTCAAAAAAGGTTGTCAACCTCTAAAAATTTCAAATTTTCAAAATATCCAGACACGAAGCTGTAGGCATGAACTACTTGCAAAATAATGAATATTTTGTTCTGGATAAATTTTCCAAAAACGCAATTTGAGCGAGTTATAACGATTTTTAAAAAGACACGACTCGTGTGTCACACGCCACACACAAAAGTAATCGATGGCACGCCTGGAGTGCCGTCCGCACTGAACCGGTTAAGGTGACGATATTAACCTCACGTACCTTAGTTTATTATAGTCATCGATTTTATTTTAATAGTATAAAGAATTTAATTCTATGAAATAGAGAATATCAACCTGCCGCACTCGACTCAGTGGAACACAGAGCCAAGGCGACAAAAAGCTGGTGGAAACTAAGCTTCACAACTTCGCCCATTAGCGAAAAATTGACTATTTGTTGATCTTCTACAGATTGTACTTCGAAGAGTGTGCCTATAAGCTTCATAAGCTCATACCACCTTTTACATTCTCCTACCGAAGTACCAGAAGTACCTACTGCAGGTTACCATCCACACTTGGTTGACATTCCAACTATTCGCACTAAGCGCTTTAAGTCATTCTTTTATAATGCGCACAGCCAAGGAGTGGAATACCCACCTGCCGGTGTCTGTTTTTCAGAGTGCGTATAATGGTAAAACCTAAAACTCTTCAAGGTGGGTGTGTTAACAGGCTTCTGTTGAGCAAACTCGCTCTATCGTAGACCTCAATTTCGACCTCGGAGCCAGTTGGAGGTCAAGAGTGAGCATAAGTTTAATAAAAAAAATATATATCACCTTAACTTCAAAAATAAACATTATCTGACTTAAAAAAGGAAGAAGAAAAAATTTTGCATTTAAAAATATCGAAATTTGATGGCATTAACTGTACTTAGTGCCTTTTAATAAATAAATAAAAAAACTTAAGATTGCATATAATATTAAAATCTTGTCAGCAATTGATTTGTCTGCTTGCATTTGAATTGACAATAGCAGCAACAAACGCATTTTAATTACAATAATATGACATAATGAATCTCAAAGACAATTATTAAGATAACAGTGATACGTTGCAAACCTTAAATGTATAATATTTCTTTTTTTTTAATTTTTTTTTAAACGTTACCCCCATACTAGGATTTTCTCCTGTGTCGTGGAGGCACAAACATAAATTGCATGAGGACAAACATCCAGATCCGGAACAATTATTTGTAGGCCATACAAATACTTGTTCCTAAATAACACGTAACTTATAACAAATTACAATAATATTATATAATGAATCTCAAAGACAATTATTAAGATAACAGTGATGAGTATCAACCTTAAATGTATAATATTTATATTTTTTAATTTTTTTTTTAAAAACGTTACCCCCATACTAGGATTTTCTCCTGTGTCGTGGAGGCACAAACATAAATTGCATGAAGACAAACATCCAGACCCGGAACAATTATTTGTAGGCCATACAAGTACTTGTTCCTAAATAACACGTAACTTATATATACAACGGTATACCAAGAAAATAATGCTATGGTCAATAGCAATAAGGAACGAGCATATCAACCGGTCCACTCTAATCAACAAGCCTAAAGATAAGAGAATCAAGGCGAAAATAAACGATAAGGAAGTTTCAACGATATCAGCGTAATAATACAGCGGTCTATCCTAATGATACAAAACCAAATAGTTTTGCAATATATTATCTTTTTTTTAGATTTTATTAGAACAGTAGCAGTGAAAGGAAAAAAAGGTTTTATTAAAAACTGCCCTTAGGCCAAATCTGTTTTAACATTGATTTTTCTTTTTTTTTTTTTGTAACGCAACAGGCTCTGTGACTTTTTTCTGCCGTATTAAAAAAGGAGGAGGTACTCAATTCGACTGTATGTTTTTTATCTGTGTTACCTCATAACTTTATTCTGGGTGAACCAATTACGATGATTTTTTTTTATTTGAAAGCTGCTGCTTCTCATGTGGTCCCATATAAATTTGATTAAGGTTTGATCAATAGTTTTTGAGTTATTCTCAATTAAATTTATATTGAAGTACAAAGTGTTTAATTTAAATTATTTGTAGAATAAAAGTGACAAGCGTGCACACAATTCACCCATTATAAAACACGTCCAATTAAGATACCTGACTCAACCAAATTTATGCAATAGCACCACCGGATGTGACACCGGTGGAGATCGTAAGACGCTGTGGTACCGTGGAATATGTCTTTGTACCTTGAAATCTACACATACAGTATACAATACTCATACCCAACAATGTTTTTTTCCGCTTTAAGTGTGTACAATTATTCCTTGTCAGCGTTTGCTTTGCAATCAAAGTTAACAGATGTTGCACACAACGGGCGTGAATCTTACCATTAGCCGTAGCCACGCTACTGTTAGTTGCTCTAGGCAACCGTGTATAAATGAATTGTTAAACGACTGCAAAAATAAGTTGTATTCATAAAAATAGATACTTAATAGAATATCTTTGTCACGTGTATGCTGTCTTACATTAATTAATAAATTAAACGTCTTGGCGATTTATTTAATTATTTAAGAATTTAAGACTAGTTAATATTCTTTACGTCATAATCTATTAATTATACAAAATAATTAACGACACCACTATACGAACGTTTATGTGTACGAAATCGTGGCACAACAAGTATAATAATATATTATCTTACTAGAACTTACTAGATAATTATAATTTCAATATTACTCGGGACTCTTCTTTTTTATATACTTGGTAGAGCCATGCTGCAGCTATATTAGTAGTATAGTTGTAGCACGAATGGGTAGGCTCGACCGGGGGAGGACCACGCTCTCACAGAATACCAGCGTAAAATAGCAGCTTAATGCTGCTGTTTCGTATGGTGAGTGTAGAAAACCAGAGACCCACTTTACTGGAAAAGAGGCATTCCATCTTAGTCCTCACGGGTGACAACGCATCTGCATTTTGATTCGCAAACGAGGATAAATGTAGATATCTATGGGCCACAGCAACCACTTACCATCAGGTGAACTGTGTGCTCGTTTGTCACCCTATCCTATAAAAAAAACCAAAAAGACTAATTTTGCCTAATAGCACGGAATAAATAATAGATCGAATTCAAAATCATTTAAAATCTAGATTATGTACATTCTTAACCGGTTGAGAGCGGATGGCACGCCTTTTGCGTGTGGCGTATGACACACGAGTCGTGTCTTTTTAAAAATCGTTATAATTCGCTCAAATTGCGTTTTTGGAAAATTTATCCAGAACAAAATATTCATTATTTTGCAAGTAGTTCATGCCTACAGCTTCGTTTCTGGATATTTTGAAAATTTGAAATTTTTAGGGGTTGACAACCTTTTTTTAACTTGTACATGGTACCCTTTTTACTTTGTGGGTTTTCAATCATGTTGTGGAAAAATAGTTTAATAAATAACAAATAATAGCAATCATTGCATTTGTATTGCATTGCATTTTTAACAGTGGTAGAGCCACGCGGTAGCTTTTGCTGTCGCACGGATAGGCCGGCTCGAACCGGGGTGGTACCACGACTTCACAGAAAACCAGCGTGAAGAAGAGGTTTACCTCTGCGTTTCGCTTGGTGAGTGCAGGTGGCCGGAGGCCCTTTTTACTGGAAATGAGGCATTCCATCTTAGTCCTCACGGGTGACAACGCATCTACATTTTGATTTGTAATAGAGGATAGATGTAGATGTCTATGGGCCGCAGCAACCACTTACCATCAGGTGGACTGTGTGCTCGTTTGTCACCCTTATCGTATAAAAAAAAAATTGCGATCGCTCACAAACCCAAGTTGTAAATAAATTTCTGGAAAACAAGTCTCCTGTTAAAAAAACAATGCGTTTGTCTTATTGTTTAATTTTGCTTAAAATGGTTGAACTGCCGTCTTATTACTATCATATGGCCGAATAGACCTACGAAATACCATGTGCTCTTGTGATATGGTATAAGGTTTATTTTTGCTTAAAACAGTTTGAAAAAGATGGCTAATAAATAGTCTTTCGTCAATCCGC